TTTTTTTTTTTTTTTTTTGCTTGTTCTAAGCATATTTTGGAAGACACAAAGATGTGAAAAAAATGAGAAAAATATGGAATAGTAAAAGAGGAAAAAAAAATGGTCTCATAACCAGCCTCTTGCTCCTTGTCCTTGCTATCCCCAATAGATCACCGAAACACTGAGATTTTAGGGAACATTTTGACTTAAGAAGCTACTTTTCCACAGTGCTRCTTTGAGCAGTATTTTGCCCATATATCTATATTTTCACAATTGCCATTTTCCATTTCATCTTAAAAGTCAACCAGCAACACATTTCTGCACTCAATTTTAAATTATACTATTCTATTAGAAAGTCCAAATGGTCTAGAATATGATGTGGGCTTCATTTTGCAACTCCCACAGAGTCAATTTTAACTATCTCTAGCTCTATTCCAGTAGAGCAGGAATGGAAATCATTGGAGAAAAACTCAAATCCCCTGTTTTCCCTTTATCTTTTGAAAATCACTTTAAATGTTTGCACCTTGCCTACTTTTCCTCACTCTTCTTTTGCCTACTTTTCCTCACTCTTGTCGATTTCTTTTCCATAACCAAATTTACATAACACCAATATGAATTTTTTTTTACTGTCCTTTAGGCCATGGAATCTGCTGGATGATTGTTATTGCTTATAGAAATCAACTAGGTAAATTCTCTAAAATGACTACCACAGTGTCCCTTAAAGATGCACTTTGAGTCTTTTTCCCCTAAATCAGAAAGATATAAGCTAAATTTTTTAAGCAGAAAAATAGAAACTATGACTTTTTAAATGTCACAGAAAACCCTCCCAGTTTTACACAGAAAGTAACAGCTACAACTTGACACACAGCTGGCAGTGATGCCAGGTCTAAACATACTAATTTTATGGCAAACATCTTGTGCTGGTTCTGGAACATTCATGAACTCTAAAACCTATTGGAAAGTTGGAAATATTCATTGACCTTCAGTTTTTCCCACCAGTCTGAGTAGAGTCCTCAATGAATGGCCTTATGTGACTTGAGACCTCAGACTGAATGGACTTGAAAATAGCAGTGATGCCATTACTAAATGAGTGAGAAAATATTATTTTTCTGCAATTGCAGGCAAGCAACATATGTTTTTGTGATTTTTCTGGTCTTCTTTTCCCATACCCATGTTGGTATTCTGGAAATAGACTATCTAATCCTAGAGCCTTTTACTCTAAGCCACTTACAGTAAGTACTGTGTCTAACATATTATTTTACATGAAGAATACATTTCTGAAGTGAATGTCCTGATTGTACCCCACTGCATTTTTTTTCTTCACATGGAGCACTCTAGGAGTGCACGACTAGATTTCTTTAGGATAAAGTCATACCAGAACACAAGTCACACCACTATACAAGTACAACTAATACAGGCAAGCTGCTGATGGACATTCAGTCCAAAGGATCACTCTAGCCCTMGTTTGAAAAACGGCCCCTCCCAAATGGATATAGGGTCAATACCAAACCTTCAACTCATTTCCGCTACTGATTGTTTCTTTCAAAGTACATTGCTTCGTGTTAGATGTAGCTATAGGCAATTACTATGATAGGCAAAATTACTGAAATAGGATAATTATAGAAATGTTGACAATAGATTCCTGTAAGACTTCAGCATATGACTTTTTGGCAGGAGAAGAGAAAGGGGTAAACTTCAATCCATTTAATTCRGAAGAGAGTAGAAAAGCAACGAATGTTGAAGTTTTTTGGCTATTGAATATTCTTTTCTACATCATCTTGTAATATTGAGCACAAAACCACAGGAGGATTGTGTGGCAAGTACAGAGTCCTTAGTATCATTCATAAAAATTACCTGGGGTAAGGTTRAGTAGCATTTTAATGGGTTAAGCAGAATTTATCAGACTCTTTTCTGAATAAATCATCCATGTCAAGACCTACAAATTAGTCAGATATAAATAGATCCAAACCCTCTTAATATTCTGTAACTGCAGCTCTTTCTATACTTTCCTGCAGAAAACATCTGTGAAAATCATAGAAGAAATAAATTTTATTCCATTATAAATTTTACTCCTCTATTCCACAATATTTATTCCACTATTCCACTGTGCTAGGAGCCTGAAAAAGTTTTTAAAATTCTCCCTTCTAAAAAGGCTTTTCTGACCTGAACTCCCAGAGAAGCATTTTGAAACTCTGAATCGCTGTAATCTAATGGTAACAAACCTTTTTGCCTCTGAACCTCCACTGAGWAAAGAACAGCAACAGTCATCTATTGACCCCACTTCTTTCCTGAATGTGTGTTAATCTGTACCTTGAAAATCCCCTGGATTGGAGGACCCATCAAGAAAAAATGAAACACTCTCCAGAGCCAGATTACCGACAAACTATTCCCTCAAGATATTACCACAAAATCAGTGGCTGCAGAAAGGACGTAATAGCCTGCATTTCCATGAAGTGGGCAAGATACTGTTCCTGTTATCAACTTAAGCCATAAATCCTGATTTGGAGGATTTGCAGTTGAGTTCTAAATGTCAGAGTCAGAGTTCTAAATGGAATCTCTCTCAAAAATCTTCCCAGCTTATAGCTGATAAGTAGTAGAAGTCCTGCAGACTGTCTCTTCATAATCTAATAGTACTACATTTCTCCCCAAGATCATTTGAAAATTAACCTGTAAATTTACTAATGCAAAATCCAATTGGCTGGGGAATATGAATTTCTTTGCCTTCTCATCACTTCTTTCTTTGACTCTGGCTTGAGTCTTTCTGGTTTCTTCCTACCCTCCAGGTAAAGACAATTACCCTCAAAAGACAATACCTCCCTCTAAGTCTCATCTTTGATATTTTTTAATAAGTTCATTCTTGTAAAGCAGCAGGACACACATAGGGCATTCTTGCTTCTTAACCTAAAAACTGAGAAAAAAATATATCTCTAGCAATACCCCACTGGTCTTTTAATCAACTGTCCATCTGGTCAAAATCTGGGCAAGTCAGATTAGAAACAGTAGTGTATTCTCCTAAGTAATGCCCAGAAGAAAAAAATATCCCAAATCTGAAGCAAATGGCAACGGGAGGGTAGTTTGGCTTATCGAATTGCTGTAAACAAACCAATCCACTGTCCTTCACTTATCTGCTTTTTCTTTTTTTCAAATMCTATTTCAAGCAATCACCTTTTGAYTGGGCAGCTTAACAGTTTGCTGTCATGACAGCTTGGACCCCTCTGAAATGAATAACAACTCTCTAAAAGTGAAGATTAACTATCAGAAAATTATTCTTATACTATTTGCATGAAATACTCAAGGCTTGGTTTTTTTTTCAACTCTCTTGAATTTAAAATGCAGTAGACATAACAGACTCCAGATTTATTTGCTATGATGTTTTGCTGCCAAGCCTTTTCTSTATAATCATATTACTTAAAGTATTCATGAAGGATGGAGTTGTTCCTCCTTTATGCAAAGTGTCAGACTGATGACAGCTCTCCAATTATTTTTCAGCATGAAAATTTAAAATAAAGAAATAAGACTAATTGGAATAATTAATCATATAAGGGTACTTAAATGGCAAGGGAATATACMATATGCATACAGAAAAGTGAAGCTGGCTAGTCTATTTCTTCATATTTGTTACAATTATTTTTTTAAAGATTAGCAAGAAGGTTTGTTCAGTTTTCTGTTAAAAATTTCTCACATTTTTACACCCTTAATGATATCAATAATAATCTACTAAGCAACAAATAGGTCTGTCATGCCTTATATATAATGCAGTCCGAACTCTAGAGCAAAAATGTCACTATCATAAGAAAATACGCTATACTTTATTTTGCCTCCTGAATTTTATGATCTATTCCTGRACAGATTTATCTATTTGTCCTCTATCTATTAAAAAATAAACATGCAGACACACTAATCCCTCTAATTTTTAATATTGCATGAGTSCTTGTTTCTTAAAAGCAACAATCACCATATTGATCATTGTTGTCCTGCTAAGAGACACATCTACATTAAAAACAACAAAAAAATTACATCTTCTAAAAGATACATTCTGCATAAAAATATTCTGTATGGCTGGCACTGAAATACATGTATGCAGGAAATTATTCAAACTCAGGTCCTGGATTCTGTAACATATAGCACTTTTCCATTGAGGTAAAAATGGCAGTCAGGCTGTGATTGTTCCAAAAGCACTATCATAATTCTTTAAAAATTGATATTCAAAAATTTCAACATTTTCCTCTACAGATACAGTTCCCAAAAAAGCACCTGAGCCTTCAGTACCTGAAAAATCAGTTGAACCAGATAAAGCAACTGAAAAGGAACAGGGTCAGCTCAGTGGTGAGAAAGAAGATACCAAGTGAGTAAATTCAATTACAAATCATGACTTCTTTTACTGACGTATTAAAATAGTTTTGCAATTTTGTGTACTCTTTAAAAGTCCTTCCACTTCATTCATCACACTGTAAGAATCTGGAGGGAACAGATTATGTATATAATTTCAATTCCAAGGCAGCCACACATATGAGGTATTCATTTAGTAAGTGCTTTTGGTAGATTTTTCTGTGTCTCATTCTAAATTGCAGAAATGAGGAAAGGGATTTGCTGTGTCTGAAGTGAAATACCACTATAAACTAATTCTAACATTGTTATTGCTCAGTTAGTATTATTCTACTACTCAAGTTGTGGGATGCTGCCCTGAATAGCTGAAATGTTTGCTATATCATCTTAATATAAGAGATTTTTACCCTGCATATACTTTTTGTTGAGTTATACCATTAAATACATATTAGTATCTGCAACTAGAGGACTCCTCAAGTCTCTGCTCAAGAATAAACAAACACATGAGATCATAAACGTGATATGAATGAGTGCCCTCTCAAGAGGTTTGCAGATGACACCAAGATGGGAGGAAGAATTAACCTATTCAGCTTGTTCATATTTCATTTCAACAAATTCATTTTGCTAAAACAAAAGTAAATGTGAAGTCCAGAAAACAGAAATCTTGGATTAATATATGCTCATTACAGAACCATAATTTTATAGAACATTTCAGATGAGAAGACACCACTAGAATGTACCTGGTCCAACCTCCTGCTAAAGTGAGGGCCAAATTTGATCTTAGTTTCAGTCTCTAAGKTAGATCAGATTGCTCAGAGCCTTGTCTAGTCCATTAATGAATACCTACCTCCAAGGACAGAGGTAGACAAAATTCCTGGACAATCTGGTCCTATATTTGACCTCTGCATAACAAAATTAATATTTTATATCTAATCAGTGTTTCCTTTGCTCTGACTTCCTTCTGTTGCTTTACCTCCAAGAACGGTTTGGATATATGTCCTGTATAACCTACCTATTAKGTGGTGGAAGACCACAGTTATCTCGATCTTCTCATTTCCTTTCTTTCACCAAGAGAGTTTATAGTGCCAAGAATAATTAAGCAAAAAAAGAACATATGCACCTCTAGAAGTAATGCATGTGATAAAAATAATGCCTACAAAAATGACTGAAAATGTCATGAATAGCTTAGTAATTTAGATGTGAATCAGTAGGTCAAAAATGAAAACCCAGGTAAAACATCTCTGTATGTCGTTTCATTATATATTGTTATAAGCTTATGGCTCCCGCAGTGAATTCTGTTACTATGCTAAACATAATTGCAATATGCTTATGAAACAAAGGGATATGCTGCTTATTAGCAGAAGACACATATCGGTCTGTTAAAAGAAAAGTTAAAGTTTAGCTGCTTTCACAGCTGTTCACAGCTAACTCATTGTCATCCATGCACCTAGTTAGGTATATATGCTCAGACTTCAGTTTGAGCAACAGCTCCTAAAATATAGTAAATTCTTGTCAAATTCTACAGTGAAAGAAGTTACCTGACAAATTTTGCAGCRGAATCTGGAAAGCATGATATCGCTTTGGTAAAAAGGAAAGAAAAAAAAATGCAAACAAACATTCAAAACTATTATACAACTTTGGGATCTGTAGGGAGAATCATTTTGAACTTGTGCCTTTATTTTAAGTTTAGTTCATTGCCCCTGAAGATTCATGGGAGTCTGTTTATTCCCATTCGTGATCAAAGTCACTAGCCTTTTGTATCTGCATATTCAACTTTAAGCACTAGAGTACTTTTTAAGGAAACTAATTACATTATTCATGTAAGGAAAGCTACATAAATGTATACACATCCACAGAACTGGAGACAAATGGAGTCATAAAATCTAGCAGTATGCTAGTGAGTTAAACACACTCTAATCATTGTCTAGTACTGAGGCCAAGTAGAAGAGAACAACCCTTGCCTACATTATTGTAACTCCTTCCCCCTGCAAAACAGGAGGCCTCACAAAAAGGGGTCAGTTATAAAAGATCTTTGTTCAGTGCTGTTATCTGGGAACTTCCATACCTAGGAATTATCTGGCAAAATGTTAGCTTGACTAGATAAAATCCTATCAAGGACTACTCTTACAACTGAATGGGATACTCATTTGAGAATTTCAGTGATCAAGAGTTTTCCCTGGTGATTTAATCTACTGCTACGGACAGAACCATAATGTGGTTAGTTGAATGAAACACAGACTACTGAAATGGCTGGTGCAATTTTTTAACTCCTGTTAGAATCAGATCACAGAATCACAGAATATTCAAGGTTGGAAGGGACCTCTAGAGATCATCTAGTCCAACCTTCCCGCTCAAGCAGGCACACCTACAGCATGTGGCACACGGTGGCATCCAGGCGGGTTTGGAGACCTCCAGAGAAGGAGACTCCACAACCTCCCTGGGCAGCCTGTTCCACTGCTCTGTCACCCTCACAGTGAAGAAGTTCCTCCTCACCTGGAGATGGAACTTCCTGTGCTCCAGCTTATGGCCATTACCCCTTGTCCTGTCGCTGGCCATCAATGAAAAGAGCTTGTCCCCTTCTTCTCTGCATTCTCCCTTCATGAACTTATACATGTTAATCATATCCCCTCTCAGCCTTCTCTTCTCCAGAGAAAACAGGCCCAGCTCACTCAGTCTCTCCTCGTACGAGAGATGTTCCATTCCCTTAATCATCTTAGTTGCTCTTCTCTGGACCCTCTCTAGAAGCTCCAGATATATGAGTGAAGGAAAAGAAGGAAGGCGATGAGGACCTTAGTCTTTGTCACTATACACAGTTTAAGGTGCAGCTTTTGTTCCAACACATTTGACTTATTTGAAATTGCACAGCTTTCATCTAGATCACATCTATGTCTCTCCATATATAATATCAGGGGGTGATCATGAACTCCCACATAAGGACTTTAATACTGAAGACTTAGGCCCCTGCCTAACTATGCAATACTGCAGTCTTACACTAATATAATTAACTTACTGAAATCTGTTGGATCATGTGTATGTGTAACAGCTTATGAGATTGTGCACTAACTGTATACACCCTTCAATTCATCAGCACTAGGCTGGCTTTTTACCCATAGTTCAACACCACCTCTATTATCTATTAACAAGAAAATAGGGTTGTGAATCTCCTCTGAAAGAACAAACCAATTTATTCTCTTGCTAAGTGAATGACTTAGCTTTGACTAAGAATTCCCACAGAAACTGTTTATCCACATGAAAAAAAAATGTCTCGGCTTTCCCTCTCAACACTTCCTCATTTTTCAAATATAAAAATGCATTGTGATGGACATTAATAAAGAGCAGAGAGGCATAACTCTGTTTTGCCTACATCCATCTCCACACTATGTCTGAAAGAGGAGACACGCTTGAATGGTTGATGTGCCCAGGCACTGAATTATGACAGAAYGACTGAAACTTTTAATGGCTGTTTCCTAATGGCTTAGATAGGATTCCACACAGGTCTGCCTAGTCGATTAAGATATAGTTTTACTCCTCCATCTTTAATGATAATATAACAGAGTAGGTTATTTCCATGAATAGCTATGTGCTGAGCAATAATAATCTCAGTTTTGGAGAGAGCAGTAAGTATACACAGTCTCTTCACAGCAAGAAATTAGAAAATAGAGGAACATTCAGAATGCAATTTGCACTCAGAGGAGTCTTGTAAACATGGAGCTATCATAAAACATTAATTGCAGCCTTTATACTATATCAAGATTACTTCTGGAGAGGGCTTACACAAACATATAAGCATATACACAACAAAGTTTTAAAATGCAAGATGAAAATTACACACTGTATTGTCTGTAGCAGTTCAGCAAATGCTGAGTATTGCCAGGGAACAGCAAGGGCTGGGAGTCAGGGTCTGTGCTGAGGCCTCCCTGCAGCAACCCAGGAGCCTCCTGCTCTCACACCAAGGGCGAGGGGTATCCACAAGCTGCACTGGTCCTGGGCTGGCCCTGAGCCCTGCAGCCAAAGCTCCAGGACAGCACACACCCTCAGGACCCTGTGTTGTGCCCCTCACTATTATGGCCCTTAATTCTACAACCTCTGCTGAATTTCTTATTGTTTATTTTAAGGATTAAAATCTTTTTTTTTTTTTTAACTCTGCCCATGTTTTCTATTCCTTGTGCTGTGCTCATGCAGCCACGTGGTCAGCTAGATCAGCTGCCATCCAGCTGGGAAGAAATCTTTTCTCATGTGGGCTAATGCTGACCATGAGTACCCAAGAGCACACAGGAAGGGTGACAAGCAGCTGCCTCGTTCCACATCAGCAGGACTGACATCCTGAGAGCAAGAGGCTGTGATAAATAGGGTAGACTAGGCCATCGGCTAGTTTCTGGTCTTAAACCATAAGAAAACAACAACAAGAACAACAAAAATGCTTTGAAAAAAGCATTATCAATATTGTTTTTATAGAGTGAAAAAAATCCAGAAGTCCACATCCCAGCAGCACCAAAGTTCAAGGAATGCTTTTGGTATCCATAGACTTTTCTGACTTTGGTGCACGCTAAAATACCTCTCGAAGGAGAGGAATATTGCCATTTGTGCAGAAAAGAAAACCATATATGTTGAGGGGGGCAGTCCTTGGAATCTGATCTCTGAGAGAAATTTAAAAGAAAGCATATGATGCAGATGATCATAATCCTTTATTATCCGTGATGATCCATAATCATCAGTGTTCATATAGGAGAGGTTAATGTGAGGCCCTTGTGTGGCACTGCCCTGAGGGCTGGGAACCAGCACAGCATCTATGGCTTGTGGTTACTACAAAGAGCAAAGGGGAGGCAGATCCATGCCCATGAAATAGCAGCAAATATCTGGCCTCCTGAGGAGGTGAAGAACTTGCAGCAAGTTTGAGAAAGTGCAGGGGTGAAAAATGGTGCACAAAATGAAAACGGAGGGGTAGAAAGACCTCTCTGACCTGCTCTCTCCTGTGTCTTTCAAATCCTTTAAACCTGGCTACAGGTGCATGTGTTTCAT